GCTAAATGCAGAAAATATGACGAGGCATATCTTGCTCTCAGCTTCACTCACCGTGTCTATACCGGACGCTACAGTTGACGCGTTCCGCCGCAACAGCTCTACACTGGACGCGACAAAGAGACCGTTAGAACTCATTTTAACTTTGTGTCAGTACGTCATAAATAGAACAAGGCATCAGTTTAATGTTGGGTTTTGTCGTGTTGCGTCACACCGCATCTAGTGTAGACAGATTATAATGGGTTCTACTGTATTTTGCCGCTCGCGTCCGGTGTAGACACACGGTGTTTAATGTTGTTGGTGAGGAGGAAAGCCTGTGTGTGTCCTATGCCTTAGCGGACAGCATGAAACCCACAAAAAATAAATGAGTAACAGCGAGAGAATAATAATAAGTCATTCTCTCTATACTATTTTTCAATGTTTCAAGTGATGCAGGTGTTTTTTTCCCTGTAGGTTTTTTTAATTAAAAAAGTATACATTTTTCATAACGTTTAGTGAAATTATTTGGTAGTCTGAGGTGGGATGGGGATTCGGGAAAGGGGGGCAGATTTTTTTTATAGGTTTAAAGGGGGGCGCGACCAAAAAAGTTTGAGAACCCACTGGTCTAAAGTTAACAGACAGTGTTTAAAAAGTACAATGCACATGTTTACATATGTTTATTACAGTGACTTTGAATTACCTAAAGTAGTGTGGTAAAGCAACAGATTTGTTTTTATATTTCTGCTATCTACTTTAGTTTGTGTGATTTGTTACTGACTTTCATATTAATGTTTACACCAGGCTTATTTAAACATAATTATTACATGCTTACAAGGTTAGAAGTTCAACAAATCAGTCAATGTACAGTGATTGTAGTTGTTAAATAAAAATGTCATTCATATAAATTCATGCATCACCTAATTTCATCGTAACATATAGGCCTGGCGTACGGAAAAGAACATTTATGTTTAATCTATCTAATAGTGTGTTGGGCATACTATACAATGATTTATAGCTTGTCTTTGTTGAATAATACAGAATATAAAGAGCTTTAAAAAAATAATTGCATATTAAATCGCACTCGCAATATTGGTAAAAAATTTTCAATTAGATTATTTTCCAAAATCGTTCAGCCCTAATTTCCCATCTTTAAAAAACCATCATATGACCCCTTTAAATTAGTGTGTGTGTGTGTGTGTGTGTGTGTGTGTGTCTATGCAAGTTTCTGTCAGTGGCAATCAGCCATAGTAAAAGTGAAGTTGAACACTGGAACATTGTTTGTGTGTGAGCATGTTTGTTACTGTTATATAATAAAAAATGCTGAGAGATATCACTCAGTTTGTCTTTCTCTTCAAAGACTTAGCCATACTGAAATTCAAGGAAAGCATACTATTATACTATTATAAGTCTTGTAGTCATGAACTAGTTCACCTTATAGCTAACACAAAAACATAAGCACTAACAACTTGCATTAAAAATATCTACACAGACAAACAAAAACCATAATTTAAATTTGATGAGTTAAACAAAGCAGGCATCACCGTCACAAAAATAAAGTAAAAAAAAGTGACTTTCTTTAATCAAAATTAGTTTTCTCCTCTAAAATCTGCCGTGTCTGCCCCAGGGTTCTTCTTCATCACATGTGGAATAAGGACTAAACTAAGCGCGAGTGAAGTGAATCAGGTGATTTGTAACTTGGAGAAATTGGAAGCGTTTCAAACTAACCCGTGTTACCCCGGTCTCCCCTGCTCACCAGTGAAAATACTCCATTAAAATGATGAGCTGCACCTCAAAATGCATGTTAGATGGAAACATTGTGCATTGTGATTGAGTTTGTAGCTTAATTCACTATATTTTAAATAGTTCGACCACTGCAGTTCAGTTGGTGACAAATCAATAGGAAATCAAAGCATCAGTCATCTCATACCATTGAAGTGAATGTTCAGTTTATTCCACACATGAATTAAATGTAAGTCCTTGAAAGCACATGGTTTCTAGCGTATTTACTGTAACTTCTCAGATAATATCAGTGCTATGACCTATTGACAACAACAGTGGTTACATATCATCTAATTGTTTGATCAAAATTATTGCTCGGGACAATTTAGTAGTCACTGGATATTGGTATAGGGACATGTACCTATAGAGTCCCTATGCCTAGACCTTTCATAAGTAGACCTTTCTTATTCATTGCTCAAGCTGCTATTATACTTTGTCAAAATGAAAGTGGAATGTCATTTAGATCAGTATTTGTAACAGTAAACCATAAACATATGGTGGTAATGATAAACATTCAATTTCAACACCATCATGAAAGACAACTACCAAGCCCTCTTTCTAAGAAACTAACTTTAGCTTTTTGTTTCCATTGTGTTCTTCTCACAAGCTATAATTAAAGGGGTCATATGATGCTTTTTTAAAGATCATTATTTTGTGTATTTGGTGTAACAGAATATGTTGACATGCTTTAATGTTCAAAAAACACATTATTTTTCAAATACTGTACATTATTGTAGGTCCTCTATGCCCCGCCTCTCTCAAACGCTTCGTTTTCTACAAAGTCCCTCCTTCCGACAAGCACAGTCTGCTCTGATTGGCCAGCTGACCCAGTACATTGTGATTGACCGAACACCGCAAACACTAGTAAATGCATCTGCTTTCGGAAGGCCAAATAAAGTGCTTTTTCTTTCACCCCAGAAACACACAGCGTCTCCCTGACATGCTGCTTCAACACTAACTGCGGTTACTGAAACCATGCCTTCTTTCTTTGCGTGCACATTTGGGCGCATTATGCTAATATTTCCACATAGTGAGGTAGATATGTGGGGGCGTGTTAGAACGAGCCATTTTAGGGGGGCGTGGCAGAGTCTTAACTTTGATAAAGAATATCTCTTTGGTTTTGAGACTTTAGTCTTTGTAACTTCAGGGATCTTATCTATGCACAATCAGCTTGTAACACTCCAAAGAGAAAGGAAAACTTGAAATCGCATCATATGACCCCTTTAATAAAGTTAAAGTGTCTGAGCCAGGGTTAAGCTAAAACTATTAAAACATTGTTTTATTGAAATAAAATATAAGTATTAGATGAAAAACCTTTTAAACCAGTTTAAGCACTAAAATTACTAACTGGGGAAAAAAACAACAATTAAACCTAAATAGTAATAGTTAACAATAAAAAAAATTACTATAGCACATAACAAAATTGCTAAATATTTAACTAAAATGAAAATGAAAACAAAGTATAAATATATTAATAAAAACTAGAATAAATTTCACACTAATAATAATAATACTTCAGTTTTTTTAACAACAAAAGCAAATGTATTTAATGCCACATAGTTTAAAGGTACTACTATCAGGAATTAAAATGTCTTTCTTTAAGACAAAAAGAATATAAATTATAGAGAAACAAAGAATACGTTTTGATTCTTCACATCAATGGTTTTGTCTTTTGGATGGCTCTGTATAACCCTTCAGTTCCTTTGTGCTGTTCTCATTTTGTAAATGTTGCATTTTTCTGATATGGCGTCTCCATTTCATTGTCACTCTACCTTGCTTTATTCAGTTTAGGGACTATTTTGTGTTCCACCCTCAGCAGAAATCACACGCCTGGCCCTTTAAATCCCGCTCACTTGACAGACAACCGCACCGACCAATCATAGCGCGTTATTATATAGGCGTATCCCCCGCGCATTTGCAGACGTCAAGTAGACCTCACCGACCTACCTTTAGCTTAGCCTTTCAAACTCTTCCTTTATTCAACTAGATGTGTTTGGGATCTCGCCTGTTCCGGTTGTAATTAAGAAGCTGGAGGTTAATAACGCCGGACAGACCGTTGTGAAGGCTACCTGTTCATCCGACAGCTTTACAGAGCTCTGTGTTTAGTGAGAAGGAGTGAATTCCATGCGTTAGCTCGAGCTGCTCTACAAGAGAAACAGCAGACATGGGCTCCAGAGCTTCATCTTTACTCAGAGAAGAGGACATTGAAGAAATCAAGAAAGAAACTGGATGTAAGTAGCGGTTTTGGGTGGATTAATAGTGTGGTTGGGTTATATAGACATCAATAGAGAGTTATGGATGATGATGATGATAATAATTAATAATAATAATAATAATTTATGCATTTAGCAGACTTACAGTGCATTCAGGTTATACTTTTTTTTTTTTTACCAGTATGTGTATGATGACACATGTGTTAATGTAATACACAGCTGCCTGTCTGACTGTCTTAATGGGTGGTTTATCATGAAGTACTTTTTGGGAAGTATTTCATGTCCTGTGATGTCCATCTACACTATTTTAAACAGCATTTGTTCCTTCTTGTGTAGGTATTATTGTGCTTGCAGTTTGTCTGGTCGCTTATTACTTGAGATAAGGGAAAATAGCTAGTGGGAAGTCTTCAAATCTTGGTGGAACTGGTGAGCAGTTACAGGATCTAAGATACACTCCCTTATAGATTGATATAATTTCAATTTTACAAATATTTTGGGTTAATAAGAAGCTCAGAACATGCTTCAACCACCTATATCTGATTAAGCGCATCTGCCTGATACCAGAGTTTTCATGATCAGGTTTGAGCACTGCGGATCTAAACTGACTGGATGGCCCCAGCTCTTACACGGGGGCCGATGATCTGGTCTGTGTGTGTGTGTGTGTGTGTGTGTGTGTGTGTGTGTGTGTGTGTGTGTGTGTGTGCGTTACAGGATCTAAGATACACTCCCTTATAGATTGATATAATTTCAATTTTACAAATATTTTGGGTTAATAAGAAGCTCAGAACATGCTTCAACCACCTATATCTGATTAAGCGCATCTGCCTGATACCAGAGGTTTCGTGATCAGGTTTGAGCACTGCGGATCTAAACTGACTGGATGGCCCCAGCTCTTACACGGGGGCCGATGATCTGGTCTGTGTGTGTGTGTGCTGTGATATGAGTGGGGTGTGTGTATGTGTATTGAGGGGCCACAGATGAATATCTCTGTTGTGTTTGAGTGTCAGAGTTGGTTCATTGTCACTGAAAAAGTGTCTCAGAGGGAAGAACTGATAAACAAGCTTCAAGTCAAGTCACCTTTATTTATATAGTGCTTTTAACAATACAGATTGTGTCAAAGCAACTGAACAGCATTAATTAGGACAATAGTGTCAATAATGCAAAATGACAATAGTAAACACTCATTTTTCAGTTAAAGACAGTTCATCATTGAATTCAGTGATGTCAACATCCAGCTCAGTTTAAATAGTATCTGTGCAATCATGTCAACGATATCACTGGAAATTAAGTGTCCCCAACTAAGCAAGCCAGCTTTACTGTATGCATTGCTGTTTAATACGCAATTTTGCATAATAGATTGAAAATGTTTGACAGATGCTAATAAAATAAGCTGTAAGCTGTAAAATAATCAGGGCGTTTTTAAAATGTTGGTATATTTAGGTAAAGTTAATGGGGGCATGTTTTCAATGCTGTTTTTCACTAAATGAACACAAGGAAATGTGTTTCAGAAGTAAGACAATTGATCATACAGACAGATAGTAATAATAGAGGCCATTACAGAACCATTATATTTAAGTGTGTAGGGCTGGGTTATATATTAAAAGATATCTGATTTGATTGTTTGTGTCATTACTCAAAAATGTACAAAGAAGTCCCTTGTGATGTTTTTTTTATGTGTTTAAATGGTTGTTCATTGCTATGTTTTGTAATATCGGTGTTATAATAATGGAAAATGCATAAACGTAGTTCTTGTGTTCATTTAGCGAAAAACGGAACCGGAAAACGTGCTTTATTTTAACCTAAATTTGATCATATTTTGCATCTGTCAAACATTTTTTTATTCAGTTTTAATCAAAAAAAGGTTAAAGAAGGCTATACATTAAATAATATTGTTCCATGAAGAACTTTTAGTGTCTGTGGATGGAATCTTCCCATTGCACAAAAGGTTCGTCAGACTATTAAAACGTTATAGTAAAAAAAAAGGTTCTTTTAAGAACTGGTCACTGAAACGTTCATAGGGAAACCCAAAATTGTTCTTCTATAGTGTCTGATGAAAATAATTAGATTTTAATGACACCATTTACACCCCCACAACATCTAGAAATAGACTGGGGATATGGTTTATGCATTATTGGAGAAGTGTCCCCAACTAAGCAAGCCAGCTTTACTGTATGCATTGCTGTTTAATACGCAATTTTGCATAATAGATTGAAAATGTTTGACAGATGCTAATAAAATAAGCTGTAAGCTGTAAAATAATCAGGGCGTTTTTAAAATGTTGGTATATTTAGGTAAAGTTAATGGGGGCATGTTTTCAATGCTGTTTTTCACTAAATGAACACAAGGAAATGTGTTTCAGAAGTAAGACAATTGATCATACAGACAGATAGTAATAATAGAGGCCATTACAGAACCATTATATTTAAGTGTGTAGGGCTGGGTTATATATTAAAAGATATCTGATTTGATTATTTGTTTGTGTCATTACTCAAAAATGTACAAAGAAGTCCCTTGTGATGTTTTTTTATGTGTTTAAATGGTTGTTCATTGCTATGTTTTGTAATATCGGTGTTATAATAATGGAAAATGCATAAACGTATTTCTTGTGTTCATTTAGCGAAAAACGGATCCGGAAAACGTGCTTTATTTTAACCTAAATTTGATCATATTTTGCATCTGTCAAACATTTTTTTATTCAGTTTTAATCAAAAAAAGGTTAAAGAAGGCTATACATTAAATAATATTGTTCCATGAAGAACTTTTAGTGTCTGTGGATGGAATCTTCCCATTGCACAAAAGGTTCGTCAGACTATTAAAACGTTATAGTAAAAAAAAAAAGGTTCTTTTAAGAACTGGTCACTGAAACGTTCATAGGGAAACCCAAAATTGTTCTTCTATAGCGTCTGATGAAAATAATTAGATTTTAATGACACCATTTACACCCCCACAACATCTAGAAATGGACTGGGGATATGGTTTATATTGTTCCATGAAGAACTTTTAGTGTCTGTGGATGGAATCTTCCCATTGCACAAAAGGTTCGTCAGACTATTAAAACGTTATAGTAAAAAAAAAGGTTCTTTTAAGAACTGGTCACTGAAACGTTCATAGGGAAACCCAAAATTGTTCTTCTATAGTGTCTGATGAAAATAATTAGATTTTAATGACACCATTTACACCCCCACAACATCTAGAAATAGACTGGGGATATGGTTTATGCATTATTGGAGCTGTATAGGTTATATGTTAGTCTTTATTTTGCAGGCCACATAAACCAAGCTCAAAAGGTCTGCAGGCGGTCTTTTAGTTGTTTTGAATAGCTGTTAATATTTCCTCATTTCAAGTGCCAAGACTTGTACGCATGTGTTTGCATGACCTTTTTTTTACGTGTTTGTCAGCCCAGATTTGACTACATTCCTTTAAAGCCACATTAAGTGCTCTCCCTCTTGTAATTTTTTTTATTTCTTTTTTTTTGCACTCTCGTCCTCTGGTGTGAAAACCTACGGGGCAAAAGCCAGGATTTCACACTGCTTCTCTTTATGTGGTTGGGTTTTAACTCTTGGCTGAACGTCACTGTGTGATTTCCTTCATCATGTGAAATGGTTCTGCATTCATTCACTTCATTTACTCTAAGCCCTGTTGATCAAAGTCTGATTTGTTGTGGAAGATGTTCCACTGATGTGGTCAGTAATTGGCTTTAATGTGGTAAAATAGGAAAACAATGGGTTATCTGTACCACTTTCCATGAATTCATACTGTGCCAAAGCAGCTTTTCTGTTTTCAGATGTTCCAGTTGTTATATTAATTTCTTTACAATTTTTTGGGCTAAATTGTGATATTAACTCTTCCGTGATATACGATGCTCACTATCTCTTGTCTAGTGTGTTGGGTCATTCTGATAAGCTAAGTGTCCCCAACTAAGCAAGCCAGCTTTACTGTATGCATTGCTGTTTAATACGCAATTTTGCATAATAGATTGAAAATGTTTGACAGATGCTAATAAAATAAGCTGTAAGCTGTAAAATAATCAGGGCGTTTTTAAAATGTTGGTATATTTAGGTAAAGTTAATGGGGGCATGTTTTCAATGCTGTTTTTCACTAAATGAACACAAGGAAATGTGTTTCAGAAGTAAGACAATTGATCATACAGACAGATAGTAATAATAGAGGCCATTACAGAACCATTATATTTAAGTGTGTAGGGCTGGGTTATATATTAAAAGATATCTGATTTGATTGTTTGTGTCATTACTCAAAAATGTACAAAGAAGTCCCTTGTGATGTTTTTTTTATGTGTTTAAATGGTTGTTCATTGCTATGTTTTGTAATATCGGTGTTATAATAATGGAAAATGCATAAACGTAGTTCTTGTGTTCATTTAGCGAAAAACGGAACCGGAAAACGTGCTTTATTTTAACCTAAATTTGATCATATTTTGCATCTGTCAAACATTTTTTTATTCAGTTTTAATCAAAAAAAGGTTAAAGAAGGCTATACATTAAATAATATTGTTCCATGAAGAACTTTTAGTGTCTGTGGATGGAATCTTCCCATTGCACAAAAGGTTCGTCAGACTATTAAAACGTTATAGTAAAAAAAAAAAGGTTCTTTTAAGAACTGGTCACTGAAACGTTCATAGGGAAACCCAAAATTGTTCTTCTATAGCGTCTGATGAAAATAATTAGATTTTAATGACACCATTTACACCCCCACAACATCTAGAAATAGACTGGGGATATGGTTTATGCATTATTGGAGCTGTATAGGTTATATGTTAGTCTTTATTTTGCAGGCCACATAAACCAAGCTCAAAAGGTCTGCAGGCGGTCTTTTAGTTGTTTTGAATAGCTGTTAATATTTCCTCATTTCAAGTGCCAAGACTTGTACGCATGTGTTTGCATGACCTTTTTTTTACGTGTTTGTCAGCCCAGATTTGACTACATTCCTTTAAAGCCACATTAAGTGCTCTCCCTCTTGTAATTTTTTTTATTTCTTTTTTTTTGCACTCTCGTCCTCTGGTGTGAAAACCTACGGGGCAAAAGCCAGGATTTCACACTGCTTCTCTTTATGTGGTTGGGTTTTAACTCTTGGCTGAACGTCACTGTGTGATTTCCTTCATCATGTGAAATGGTTCTGCATTCATTCACTTCATTTACTCTAAGCCCTGTTGATCAAAGTCTGATTTGTTGTGGAAGATGTTCCACTGATGTGGTCAGTAATTGGCTTTAATGTGGTAAAATAGGAAAACAATGGGTTATCTGTACCACTTTCCATGAATTCATACTGTGCCAAAGCAGCTTTTCTGTTTTCAGATGTTCCAGTTGTTATATTAATTTCTTTACAATTTTTTGGGCTAAATTGTGATATTAACTCTTCCGTGATATACGATGCTCACTATCTCTTGTCTAGTGTGTTGGGTCATTCTGATAAGCTTTCAACCAGTACTGTCAATCTGATGATCACATCTGTGACTTGAATGCTCACTGTCCTTAACCAGACCTTGCTGTGTTTGTGTGTTCCAGTTTCCCACAGTCAGATCACTCGCCTCTACAGCCGCTTTCACAGTCTCGATAAAGGAGAGAACGGAGCGCTCAGGTACGGCATGCACTGTGTTAGATGAATTGAGTAATAATGAACTTTAACGGTGAGCTGTTGAAACACCGTTGGCCCATGAGGAAGCAGATATTACTCAAGCAGCTGGGTTATGGCTGCATGCTTGCTTTTAAAGAACATCCTTTGATCGTCTCAGTTTGAATGTAATTAAGCGCTCTGGTAAACATTTATACCAGCCTCAGGCTCTGTAAGTTAATATGTTAAGGAATGACTAGATCAGGGTTTGAGTTTTGACTAAAAATATGACTTTTATTTTAAATATTCCTTGTAAAAGAGGGAACTCCAGGACAGTTATGAAGCATGTATTTCCTTGTGCCAAAGTCGTTTGCGTAATGTCCTCTGTGTGTGTCCTCATAACCGGAGTGACCTCTGTACACTGTGATTATGATCGATGAAAGGTTGTTATAAAAGCAGTGGCACAGTAGTGATGATTTAAACGTAGTGGTAAATGCAGCATTAATAGTGCATTTCTAGCACATTTATCACACACATTGTCCACAAGTATTGCAATATGTTCTATTGTTGTGCATTTGACAAAAAAATAACTAATGAATTTGGTGCTGTTTCTATCATAAAGAATTAAGGATTACGGGGCTTGCAAAATTTCTAAATTCCTGGTAGCCCTGCGGGCTGGAATTCTTCCGATTTTGGTAGCCCAAAATGAATTTAACTATAGCTATAGCATGAATAAAAAAGACGTCGGCTGAACTTCACTGCGGACAAATCAGCATGATCAAAAGCTTCAGTGATTGTATAATTTCCTCAAATAACAAGAAAGTAGGTGTGCAAAAATCAGACTCGGATCATATTACAGATTTTAAGTGACCGATTGGATAATTTTTCGGGTGAGCAAAAAAATTGGTTCTTTACATTATTTAAAGAACACTACTTCGATACCACAGCAAAAACTATAGGGATGTAACGATTCACTCAACTCACAATGCGATACGATTCATGATACTGTTTTCACGATACACGTTTCTCACAATTGTTTTTAACAAAATGAGATTTAAGACACATTATGAATGAAAAGGTGTCCTTTTATTATTTATAGACAAAAGGCTGCACATTTCTTTGTCAAATAATAAAACTAACTTGAAATTTTAAAACAAATCCCAAAATCAAATAAATAATACAAATAAAAGAAATCTCTTCATGTAAACAAAGGCTTTGCCTGTGCTCTTTCCATTTAAAATCAGAGCCAACCACTCATTTTTAATTACAAACCAAACAAAGATGCTAAATACTTGTCGTTTAGATTGTAATTAGATCGTGTAATTTCGAAATTTGAAGCAAAATAAGAATAGTCTGACTTTAGCTTTGTGAAACTATATGACATTAAACATTAAACAAAAACAGCAGATGGGCTGAATGAGATGCGAATGTCACTGACAGCAGGTGGCGCTTATGGACCAGCAGGAGATGATTGTCGAGATGATAATTTTGTGTGTATTTGTCCATTCACACGTGAAAGATGAATCAATTCTGTGTTTGTACCAACACAGAACCAAGTTGTACCAAATTGAATATATTCTTTGAATAAGCGCTTGAATGTTTAAATCGGCAAGACTTAGAAACATGTGCAAAATGATCAACTACGATCCATTTCACCCCTACAAGAGAGTGAACAACACGAATCAAGGAAGGAATTTTATATCACTATTTAAGATAGCCCCGGGACGTCGGGCTAGTGATTGTCGAGCCTCGGATTAAAACAAAATGCAAACCACAAGTAGTATGCATGAGTTGTAAATTAGTGAAGCTAGAGAATTTTTCAAAACTTTACAACCATTCAAAATTTTGGGGTTGGTACTTGGTTTATTTTTTTATTAATACTATTATTCAGCAAGAATCATTACATTTATTAAAAGTGCTAGTAATGTTACAAAAGATTTATATTTCAAATAAATGCTGTTTTGTTGTTTTATTCAGCAAAGAATCCTGAAAAAATGCGTCACAGTTTCCACAAAAATATGAAGCAGCACAGTTGTTTTCAACATTGATGATAATCAGAAATGTTTCTTGAACAGCAAATCAGCATATTAGAATGATTTCTGAAGGATCATGTGACACACCGAAGACTGGAGTAATGATGCTGAAAATTCAGCTTTGCGTCACAGGAATAAATGACATTTTACAACAAATTCAAATAGCAAACAGTTTTTTAAAATTGTAATAATATTTCAGATTATTCCTGTTTTTACTGTATTTTTGATCAAACAAATGCAGCCTTGTTGAGCATAAGAGACTTCTTTCAAAAACAAACCCCCAAACTTTTGTATGGTAGTGTATGATTACCCAACTTCAACTTTGTACTTGGAAACTGACACTTTCGTAAAGCATTTTTGTAGCATGTCTTATGAAACTAAACTCAATCTGTTTGCCAAATATGCTGAAGTCACAGTTTGTGTTCTTGTTATAATTGTTTGTTTTAAATGGCAACATCCTATTTGGTTTGAAACCAGCTGAGATGATGGTCAGTTCAACAAACATCCTCAGCGATATGGTTAGTATAAAAAAATTCAAGAGTGTTGATGACCTGCTGTACGTGTTGTCACCCTAAACATCCGCCAGACTGAGATAGAGACGCAGGCTCTTGTGTTTGAACAGTAAATAGTCTCAGAAATCAGGGTGAGGTGTGTGTCCTCTGAATGTGGAGGTCACTCCCATGACTTTCCTTGTGCCCAAGAAGGTTACTCCCAGAAATAATCTGTTACTAAACTGTCTTTTCATTTATTTTAAGGGGATTATAGTTCTAATTGAGCTGTCTGCACAGTAATCATATGCATTATTGCTCATATCAGCCTTATAAAAGGGTAGATGTCAAAGTATCCTTTTAACAAGTCCCATTTTCACAGAATTAGGGATGGGCTTTGCTGCTTTATTACACATTACATGATCCAATGTCAACCCAAGAGCACAGAGAGACGTGTGCAAGCTGAAATAAAAACTTACTGGCTTAATGTAAAAAGCCTAAAAACAAACAAACCATGTCAGGTGTTTCAGCAGATTTACTTTTCACTAGGGAAAACGGCTCTTTATTAAAGAGAGGCATTTTTATAAGAATAAATTGTATTATTAAAAACAGGATGGTCTGTCACGTTACCATCTGGGATGGTACTCAAATGGTTCAGGTCATACTTAGAAGGGAGAGGTTATTATGCGAGTTTAGGAGAGCATAAGTGTAAGTGGACGTCCATGACATGCGGAGTCCCACAAGGCTCAATTCTTGCACCGCTCTTGTTTAGCCTGTATATGCTCCCACTAAGTCAAATAATGAGAGCGAACCAAATTGCTTATCACAGCTATGCTGATGATACCCAGATTTACCTAGTCTTATCTCCAAATGACTACAGCCCCATTGACTCCCTCTGCCAATGCATTGATGAAATTAACAGTTGGATGTGCCAGAACTTTCTTCAGTTAAACAAGAAAAAAACTTCAGTCATTGCATTTGGAAACAAAGATGAAGTTCTCAAGGTGAATGCATACTTTGACTCTAGGGGTCTAACAACTAAAAATCACGTCAGGAATCTTGGTGTGATTCTGGAGACAGACCTTAGTTTCAGTAGTCATGTCAAAGCAGTAACTAAATCAGTATACTATCATCTCAAAAACATTGTAAGAATTAGATGTTTCCAGTCAAGACTTGGGGAAACTTGTTCATGCCTTTATCACCAGCAGGGTGGACTATTGTAATGGTCTCCTCACCGGCCTTCCCAAGAAGACCATTAGACAGCTGCAGCTCATCCAGAACGCTGCTGCCAGAATTCTGACTAGAACCAGAAAATCTGAGCATATCACACCAGTCCTCAGGTCTTTACACTGGCTTCCAGTTACATTTAGGATTGATTTTAAAGTACTTTTACTCGTTTATAAATCACTAAATGGCCTAGGACCTAAATACATAGCAGATATGCTCACTGAATATAAACCTAACAGACCACTCAGATCATTAGGATCAAGTCAGTTAGAAATACCAAGGGTTCACACAAAACAAGGGGAGTCCGCTTTTAGTTATTATGCCACCCGCAGTTGGAATCAGCTTCCAGAAGAGATCAGTGTATAATAATTGTATAATAATTTTCTATTTAACTGTCTTAAATTCATTTTAAATCCATTTTTAAATCATCTTCAAAGTTTTTAAATTCCTTGTTTTATTTTTGTGATTATTTTTTTGTATTTTTACTTTCTTTTATGTAAAGCACTTTGAATTACCATTGTGTACGAAATGTGCTATATAAATAAACTTACCTTGTCTTGTCTTACTTCATTACAGGAAAGCATGTGTGCAAAACCTGAAACTCATCCCATAATAACCCCTCCCTCTCTCTCTTTTTCTCCACCTCAGCCGAGAAGACTTCCAGAGGATTCCTGAGTTGGCCATAAATCCTCTTGGTGATCGGATAATTAATGCCTTCTTCCCAGAAGGGTGAGGAACATCTCATAAGACATTTGAAACATCAGAGTGATATTTTATTACCACCACCACTATAGTATATTGTATACACACTTTTTCTGCTTGTACAAAGAACAACAAGTGTACAACAAGGTGCATAAATTGAAGACAACTATGAAATATAAGTAAATGGAAAAGAAAGACAAATTTGGTAATATTAAAAGGAGAAATAGGTGTCTGTATTTCACACCAAAAGCCAAAAAACAGAAAAACAATAAAATTTCTTATTTTAACTTTTCTTATATTACATTGTGACATTGTTTTCATGACAAATAAGTTTGAATTATAAATATATATTTACACACTACAGTCTTTTATGCTTGCCAAGACTGCATTTATTTAATATAAATACAGTAATATTGTGAAATATTATTACAACTTAGAATAACTGTTTTCTATTTAAATCTATTCTAAAATGTATTTTATTTTTGTGATGCAAAGCAGAATTTTCAGCACCGTTCCTCCATTCTTCAGTGTCACATAATCCTTCAGAAATCATTCTAATATGCAGATTTGCTGCTCAAGAAAAAGATTATCTAAATAATTAAGTAAACTTATCAATGTTGAACACAGTTGTGCTGCTTTTTTTTTTTTTTTTTTTTTTGGAAAACATGATTCTTTTTTTCCAAGATTCTTTGATGAATCGAAAGTTCAACAGAACAGTGTTTATTTGAAATAGATTTTTTTGGGGGTCACATTAAAAAATGTCTTTCCTGTCAATTTTGATCAATTTAATGCTTCCTAGCTGAATAAAAATATTCATTTCAAAAACAAAACTTACAGACCTCAAACTTTTGAACAGTTGTGAAATTGTTTTCAAGACATTACATGAAAATGGGGAAAAATATGGTTAGAAGTGATGAAAATGTCACAATGCATTATGTTTTTAAAATGTAAAAATAGCTTTCATTTTTCTATGCAAAATAATTTTTTATTTTTGGTTTCTTTGTGGTTTATTTGGGTTCACGTATTTGAATGTTACCATGGACTCAAATTCCTTAAAGTATGAAGAAACCACTGTGAAAAACATTGTAAAGCATGAGTCTAAAGTAGGACAGAGTATGTTTAGGCATCAGGGAGCTTGTCTGGGGCAATGTCCGGCCCTGTAGAGATTAAAACCACAGCAGTCAACCACTAGTGTGGATCTTAGTAAACATAACATCATTTTTAAAGTATGTGGCTCATTCTTGAACCAAAATTTTGCCTGAATGATGATTAGATTCACTGTTTTGGATCGCTGCATTTAAACTGAGAAAGCACATACAGAATGATGGTGTTTGGTGTATGATAGAGTAAACCGTAATAGAAGGTGCAGGGGGAGCCTCCCCCGGGTCCTAATGCCCGCTCAGTAAGGAGTTTTCATTTCCGTAGGGGACGCTGTTGGCCTACTTCTAATAAAATGAAAGCAGAATACACAAATAATATTTAGATTAAATAAAGCAGTAATTGATGCCCTAAAATCATGAGTATGTTTTGATTTAAAGGTCAGAAGCTATAGCTTACTTGAACAAAAAAACAAAATCACAAACATGACACTTAAATTAAATAAATGTATATATACCTACTGATTTATTCTAATATGTTCTATTTTTTTAAACAAATTATGAGCTCTAAAAGATTTTCTGAATTTTTACAACTTTTTTGCTTTAGACCGTGTGCAAATGTTATCATAAAATAAAATGTTAAGGTTACCACTGCATCTTTTTATCTTTGATAGTGATTAATATATAGTTTATTTATAGTTATTTTCAAGTCTTCATTGTACTGTCATTATAAAATAACTTTATTATTGTTTATTTAATTCTAACAAATAAGTTCCTGTTAAAAACTTACCAAAATTAAAAATAATTATATATCGGCATTGGCTATCGGCCAAAATGAGTTGAAAATTATCGGATATCGGCAAAAATTCAATATTGTGCATCCCTAATTGGAATTCTAACGGATATGCAATGCGACTGATGTAATATAAATAATAGTATCTAATCTATTTGTATTACTTTACTATCACTGGTTGGGCCAACACTGAATAGGCATGGAAATGTCATGATCGTATTTTAATTATTCCGATTTATAATATTAAAACAGCAGTCGTCATTTACTCCCGACATCTGAGCCGCTGAACTCGCAGTGGATTACATTTGTTTCTGAAGAGAATGTACCCCCGATCTACATAAATGCGTCTATGTTCGCGTGAATTAGGGTTGTGACAGTGAGGAAATTTTCCCACCGGTTAATCGACGTGTGACAACACCGATAATACCGGTATCACCGCGGGGGCGTTCCCTCTTTTCCTCGCTTTCCTTTGCTTTTAAATAGCTTGTAAAAGCGGCGTGCCCATTTTACTTTCACTTTCAAACAGCGGCAATTTGGCGTAAAGCAATTGTTCGGTTTTTAGCTCGTTTGAATTTTCCCTCTTTTCCTTGCTTTTAAATAGCTTAAAAGCGCTGTGCATATTTTACTTTTACTTTCGAATTAGCAGCAGTTCGGCATCAATTGCTTGAATGCAACAACAAAATACAACGTCAAACTCACTTTAGCTTATATATAAAACATAACTTTTATAAAAAAAAAAAACTTCCAAAATCACCTTAGATAAACGGCAAATGTCAACAGGCTTTTCAAAATCTAAAATACTGCCAAACAGGCGCTTTTGCATTTCGTTTCGAAACTAAATCATCCGCCATCATCTTGTCTGTCTCACCTCACCTCACTCTTCTTGTCAGTCAGCTGGACTCACTCTCCTCCCTGGAGAAATTAAATCTGATCTGTGATGCGACTGTCGTTCGGGCACGCTGCATTGACCAGCTGCATTCAGTTTTTAATTGTAGTGTCTGTTCTTTTATAATTTTATAATAATAATTTATGCATTTAGCAGACGCTTTTATCCAAAGCGACTTACAGTGCATTCAGGCTATACATTTTTGACCAGTATGTGTGTTCCCTGGGAATCGAACCCACCCTTTTGCGCTGCTAACGCAATACTCTACCACTGAGCCACAGGGTCGGTGCCGCGGCGGGTCAGTGACGTAACCAGTGTTGCGGCTTAACACTGGAATCACCGTTAGCACCGTCTATCGTGGCAAGCCTAGCGTGAATCATTCAAGATCCAGGCTCATCTACAGAAGAAGTGAGTATAATGTTTTGTAATGAATCTTTGCAAATCGCCTTTCCTAATAATGTGTTAATTAGCAAGTTTCACGATGAATGCGGCTAAAGTAAACAGTCTCTCTGAGAGCAGATCGGAAGAGAGGGGCGGGGTCAGCAGAGCTCATTTGCATTTAAAGGAAAATGCAACAAAAACGGCTTGATCTGAAAAGAGGTGTTTTTTACACTACCATTGAGAAATTTTAACCAAACTATGTTACGGACTTTTCATTAAGACCCCAAAGAATCATATCGACTTGTGGAAAATGGGCATCCTATGACCCCTTTAACTTAAAACGATCGCTGCTGGCCAAAATAAGTCTATAATCCATAATAACGCTTCCTCCAGTGAAAATAACGCTTCCTCCTCCATCTCCTGTTGTCCTCTCACATCAAAATCCACCAAATATTTGCTCAACTGTTTTGGACTGTTTTCGCTTGTAAACCATGCTTGATCTGTGCATATTTATCTCCTGATTGAGACGAGATGCTTTTTTTCACTGGAGAAAGAAATATTATGGATAGAGGACTTGGTTTTTAGCTGGAAGCAATGGTTTGAAGTTAAAAACGTCATGATGGATTTGTTTCTTACAAACACGCAGCTTTTGGCTTCACAACACGTTTAACTGATGGACTGGAGTGGTGTTGATTACTTGCTGTGGATGATTGTGATGTTTTTATCAGTTGTTTAGACTCTCATTCTGATGACACCCATTCATTGCAGAGGATCCATTGGCGAGCAAGTGATGGAATGCAAATTTTTTGTCTTTTGGCTCAGGAAAAAAAACAGGGTTGGAATGACATGAAAGTGATTAAATGATTCCAAAGTTAGTTTTGGGGTGATTTGTTGATTTTCAAAAACCCTTTTTCGTACCTCAGGTATTGGAAAAAGTGGATGTCGAACAGAAGATGAGCATCCGTTTCCTTCACTGAAAACCAAACGCGCTCTGAACTCTGATTGGAGACCATCAGTGTCAGTAGAGATAAGACACGCCCCTGACTCTTCTCTCTGTGGGCTGATTCATCCTTTAGAAACATGATTGTTTTGTCATGGTTACGTTTGTTTCAATCATCCGTCACTCTTGAGTTGCTGTTGCACCAGAAAGGGTGGGTCCAGTGCCTTCACTATTCTGAAAAGTCACTGGCATTTATCTCATATGTTGAAATAATATTTATTCCAGCTGTGAAAGCAGCTAATTAAAACTTTCCAAATGGGGAAGCTGTCATTGATATTGATACTGACGGACGCTTGTTGTAATGCCCATTTCGTCACCATCTTAAAGGCCAAATCTGATACTTCTATAATAAATAAATGAGTGTAACGTTCCTTATCACCTGTGAAAATTATATTTTTTGATTTTTAAAGGTGAAGCGTGTAAACTAAGCTCTGTTTAAGCATCCAAATTTGACATGACAACGTTACCCAAAATACTAACTCTAAGAAAACAGTAGAGGATGTTTGACACCATCATTTTTGTGAATTGAAGTTATGCACATTTCATCTGATCTATCTTACAATTTTTTTGCCTGGCAGATGATAACAGTCGAAAAAATTTGTTAGACTTGCATTTTAAGGATGGATTTGAGATATAGAGGGACCAGAATATAATAGAGATTCGTGCTGCAAATCATCTAGAACACTCTAACAACGTGAAAAAGTAGCTGTGAACCCCTTAGCAGCCCCTTTGCACAGCCAAACACCACTCACTTCCTTCAGAAAATGTAAGAATCTTAGCAATTCTCTTTAATGGTGCAGAAATGACTCGCTTCACCTTTTCAGCTCTTGTTCATTCAGTCCAGTCAATTTCAAAACTAACCAGTGGTTTAATGTTGGGTGTGATTTGTTCTATATGACGTATGCTCTCAGAGTTGTCATGCATCATTATT